TTTATTCAAACAATGAAGAAAATTATTAAATTTAGGCAAATAGATACCCCATTTATTCAAAGTTCCAAAGATCTCTTTAATCTTTATATAATGAATCACAATATGGATTCTATCTTCCTAAACAGGACAACCTCTGGGACACAAACAAGATTTTGAAAGCCTTCTATACTAAAACCAAACTTGAGTTGGAATAGCATTATTCATCATACTCCACTAGAAACGATATTCTTTAGGAGTTAATTTTAACTTCCTAATCCATTGTATTGGTATACATTCATAATTCTTATCACACAAAGCTTTAATTGACATAGCTGTGATTGATCTCTCTGATTTGCATTCAAACAAATCCACCATATCTGCACCACTTTCATGATAAATTGGAATATCTTGAATGCTATTCACTTGGCCATCTGAAAAAAAGTTCTTTATTAGTGGATTATTCCAGTTATTGTCACCCTCATTAAGAAACAAAACTTTCTTATTTTCCCATTCACTTATGTTACACAAAGCAGGCTATTTATTCATATTTATGTGAAGAATCCAATTATCATTTAAAATATCAATACTACTCCCATTTGGAAATTTCCACCTAGTAATTGGCTTCAAGTAATAAGCTCCTTCCTTAATAATATGCCAAGAAGGAGAGGAATGTCTTCTAGTTTCATTGACTATATGGCTTATTAATAAAATTCCAAGTAATATGAGCTCTTAGAGGTCCTTGTTTATTCAATGCACCATGAATAACCAAACCTTTGTAGTTGACATCTATACACATCAAATCCCAAGAAATATAATACAATCCTCTTCTTCCTTGATCTTTTTGCCAAAAAAAGTTCCTACATAACTTATGCAACTCCTTATGAATGCTATTTGGAACCCAAAACTGAGTCATATAATAAGAGGAAAATGATGAATAAACTATTTTAATCAACATAATCCTCCCAACTAATGATAATAACCGAGAACCCTAACAGTTAAGATTATCCAAAGCCTTCTTAAGAATTTAGTTATACTCATAACTTTTAAGTCTTCTAAGCGCCAAATTAATACCAAGGTAATTGAATTCCGCCTCTGATCTATATCCCAAAATTTTGTTTAATTTTCTTCTTCTTCGATGTGATACAGATCTCCTAAAAAGGATTATAGATTTCTCATTATTTAATCTTTGACTTGTCCATCTGTAGTAGTCTTTCAAAATTTTACAAATCCTTATTGCATTTTGTCTATAAGCTTCAGCCGCCACCATCACATCATCTGCAAACAACACATGAGTAATCTTTAGGGTTTTAGATGCCACCTTTATACCAAGCTTACTACTTCTTTTATCAATTGCTTTTGAAATTAACTTTGAATAATAAATGAAAAGACTTGGAGATAACGGGCATCCTTGTCTAAAGCCACATTCAACATTTATCCATTAACTTCTATTCTCATTAATACAAATTAAAAACTTTGGAATACTAACACATTCAATGATAAGGTTAATAAACTTCCTTGGAAACTCCATTTAAATAAGAACTTTGTATAATGTTTCCCAACACATACTATCGTATGCTTGTTCCATATCAAATTTGAGCAAGATAAATTCTGGTTTGGCCTTAGAGAATCTCATTTTATTGATTACTTCATGAGCTAATAAACAATTATCAGATATTGTTCTGCCTAGCACAAAGCACCTTAATGATCTGAAATAATTTTAGGTCTATTCAACATCATACCTTCCACTATCTTTTAATAGTTTGGCACAAGCTTATTGGTCTAAACTTCTTCATTTCCATTTCATTAGGCACTTTAGGGATCAATATCACCATAGTTTCCTTCCAACCATTAGGCAACTTACAATTCTTGAAGAAATTCTGCACTGCATTCCATAACTCAATATTGACAATATTCCAAAAATATTTGAAAATGTACGAATTGGCCCCCATCAATTCCATAAGATTTGTTATTATTCATTTTCATAACAGTGGCATATAACTCTTGTTTTATAAAAATTGCATTTATTATATCCTTTTGAACATCATCTAACTTCAAGTAAATTCTGGCCAATTAGAATAAGAATAAAGCCTACCTTTCCATTTGCTTGCAAAAAAAAAAACTTTCAATAGTTTATTGTATAGCATCCGGGTCAGTAATGTATCCACCATTTGCATCAGTAAGTTGATTAATCCTATTGCCATTCCTCCTTGCTAAAGAGTATGTATTAAAAAATCGAGATTACAATCTCCCTCCTCCACCCAATGTATCTTTGTATGTTGTTTCTGCCATGTGGATAATTCTGCAAGAGTAACATTAAGCTTATGGATCTTCCTTCTAAGTTCCAACAGCTTGCTTGAATTCAAACCAAAAAGGCTCTCCTCTTCTTGTAAAGACAATAGCTCCTTTTGCAAATCTTTTTTCAATACATTAAGTTCTTTGAGTTTATTTTTGCTCCAATAAAATAAGTTTTTAAGAGACATATTAACCTTCCTCTGAAGAATATTTGAAGCTTCACAAAATCCTTTTTGCTTCATGCATATTTCTCCACCCCCCAAGAAGCTTCATACGAGAACCAAACATTCTCAAATTTAAAAGATCTTTGAGTAGACACAACTGACTTATTTGGATTAAGAAGAAGAGGGCAATGATCATAAGTAACCCTTGGCAAATGATTGATAACTACAAATGGAATTTGATTTAAAGCTTTAGAATTAAGGCAAATTCTATCTAATCTTTCCCAAATGCAAGAATGACCATCTTTATTATTACACCATGTGTATTTTGGTCCTATAAAACCAATATCATGATAATCATTTCTAGATAAAAAATCCTTCATTTCTTGAGGCCCCAAAGAAAATAGAAATCTTTTTCCACGTTTCTTATTTTCCTTAGAAAGAATACAATTGAAATCACCCTCTATAATACCAGGCTTGTCATTGTATTTATACTTCTTAATCATCTCCCACACTTTTCTTCTCTCATACTTATTTTTATTACCAAATACAATGGCTGCAATCCCACAAAAATCACTAGGTGCATTCAACTACCAATTATACCTTGATCAAACGACTCAGTGATAGAAAAAGAGGATATTTTACTTCTCCACATTGCAATAATACAACCATAAGTCCCTCTGGCATCAACATGAAATTAATCCCAATCCCTCCCAATAATTCTATTCACCTCAATGCTACCGATAGTCCTTAATTTAGTTTCCATAAGACCAATAATAAAAACTCCATTATCAATCACCACACTCCTCAAGTAATGGGAAGCCTCCGTTTTCTTGGCTCCCCTATAATTCCACAGCAATAATAAAGACATTAAGAGACCAATGGGGATGAGCTCCAAGCACTATCCATTCTTACTTAACCTTTTTTACCTCTAAATCTGTCTTTAATAGGTTCAAACCTATTAACCTCCTTTTTTTTTCTAGCTAGAGGTTAAATTCTTCATCACATTATTCTTCACATTGAATTGAGGATTATCAAACTTCACTTCTATCTTCCAATTCAAATTTGGTGGAGTTTTATCTTCTAACATTTGCTTCATGTTGCTATCAGAAAACTCCTTAACCATAAGAACTTATGCACCCAAATTCTCTACAGAATTTACACCTGCACTTAGGGTATTAGTGGTAGTTGTCCCAGATTCTATTATTTTTTCCAAGTATATATTGGCATCATCTAACATAACATTATTAGATACCCCATTATTTAGTACATTCATTAAAATCTCACAATATGTTCCAACAATCAAGATAGTATTACCATTTGGTGGTACTTCAATCCTCACTGCCATAGAAACCATTGCAGCATCATCATCATGAATAAGATTAATATTTTTAGTATTTATGATTTTGATGTTACTGGTCATAGATTCTATAACAGAAGCTTCTGTTATAAAATCAGGCCTCACATTGGTCTTACTAACATATTTTTCCACCATTGATTCACCCATATTCCTCTATCTTGAAACTTTAAAACCTTTAAAAGGTTTCTTTCTTCCATAACTCACATGAATCCAGGGTCCATATTCTTCAAATTCCTTCAAAGTAATGCTATCATATTCAATCTGACTTATTCTCCCTCCATTTACAGAATTTACTTCACATCCTTACTTATTGGTACTATCATTCACCATCTTTCTGCCATATAAGAGATTTATCTTGGAACTATCAGAGTTACTACATTTTTTAAGCTCAAGACCAACTCTTCCACATTTATAACATAATAAGGCAATCTTCTCATATTGTATTTTTTGAAAGAATCTTCCTGAAATTCCATCCACCCTTAAGTAAGTTTCTCATCAAGCTTTGTACGAACACAAACCCTTACAAATTCCCTTCTTCCCCATTTGAACATGTTGCCATCCAGATACATAGAAGTTCCCAGCATTGAAGCTATTCTTGTAATGTTGGTATCATCCCAACAAAATAATGGCAAAAAAGGAAATCTGATCCATATAGGTGAAAACAAATTCTTCATAGTTAAAGGAGAGAATTCAAGACTCCAATTTTCTATACTAATAATATGGCCCTCCACATACCATGGTCCTCCACTAAGAACAGCATCTTTAACTTCAGAAGAGTAGAAAGAACACATAAACCAACCATTGCCTAATTGGTTAAATAGAATGAACCGAAATGCTTCCATTATTTTCTAAGTTCAACACTTATAACAAAGAATGGAATAGATTCACCAAATACATTAATAACCACAGAGTTGCGAAGTCTATGAATATTAGAATTTTCATTCTCACGATCGAGTTTAACAGCTACTCCATCATCAGACATACAAATCTAATTTTCCAAATTTGCAATCTTAATATTAGGATGCATATTCCATAAATTAGGAAAATTATCGGTCTTCTAAGATAAATCAGAATTGTCTTTATTCACAACAGCATTCAGAGAAGAGACAACATCAACATCGGAAAAACATACTCTTCCATGATTTGAAGAAATAGGCTTATTATCATTCTCAATATTTGCGCAAACTAATTGCGCATACGAAGATTTATTTAGAATTCCATTAGCATCACCATTAATAGGTTTAGAGAATATGTTAACAAATAATTTGGCACCATATGAGGATGAAACTACATAGTCAATACTTTTGTAATTGTCAACGATGAAATTTCTTGAGGGAACACCTTTATTTTCTTCAATAATTCCTTACCTTTTCTAGAGAGATTTTCTTCAACTCGGGCAGCAATCACTTTTGAACAATCTGACACACCTTTTATAATAAAAGGAGAGCTAGTCGACAATATTTGTGGGGGAGGTAACAATGAAGATGGAATGATTGCTGGCAAATGCCGTTGATCATCCCCCGCCATTTCCGAAAAAATAGGGAATTTCAAAAGGAAACCGGGTTTTCTCTCTATAACTGGAGCTTCTCTCTCTAAACTTCCTAAAACGCAGTTGAGTAGTACACTGAATAAAGTACTGGCCTCATTAAAGTAATATAAAATAATACCGAAAACAACACTGATGAAAGTGCATATTACAAGCATCTGAACACAACTTAATCACGATTAAAGTAAACAAAGAACCCTACCATACCGAGTAAACAAATGTATCTTCTTGAACCATACCTCTCATTCTCCATGCTTTACTATTTTAAAATTTTTCTGAGGATTTCAACGAACTTCTTAGGAGAGGTGATCTGTGGGAAATGGGCATTTTTGTCAATGTTCACCAAAGATGTCTCCCCCTTCAACTTGCACTTCATATAATCCCCAACAACAACTGGCACTACGATATCTTCTGTTCCCTGAATTATTGTGCAAGGAAGCTTGACATGCTCAAGAACATGCCTTTGATCACTGAGGAATATCATCTTGGCAAGAGGAAGAGCTGCCGTCGGATTCATGCCTTTGAAGGAATCAATGAGCTTCTTCAAGTGAATTTGATCAGTAATACCCGAAGCCATTGGTGCGAATTCTTCAGCCCAGGCTTGAAAATTTGTTTGTATGTTTGTGAGGATGTTCTCCACGTCGGTGAGCTGAAATCCTCCTTGGTAGTCATCTGAGTTTACATACCTTCATGATCATACGATTTATTTTTTAGAATTTTTGGATATAAAGTCACCCAAGAGTATTAGCTTAAGCATTATGGTTCTTGATTTCACGGTCGATGTCATATTTTTGAATTTGGCCTTTGATATTATTCTAAAAATTTAATATTTGCTAGTTCCAATTATGCTATCGTTATCTGTAGATAATTAACCTGGAGCTATGAAACATTTAGTATATATTAGCGTATCACAGATAAAATTAGTTTGATTAATTGCTTTTTGTTGAAAAAGGTTGTTTGTTAGAATTATGTAAAAAATCTTATTTTTTCAAATTTTGTGTTAATGAGTCGTAATTAAAGAAACTCTATTAATTATGGCATTGATAAGGAGCCCTGATTACTGCATTAATTGATAGATTTAATTACTACACTGATTGGAGATTTAATAGTCATGATTAAATTTCATTAAGTTTTTCTTATTTATTTTATTTCAAATCTATAAAGATTGGTTTGAGGACTATTGTAAAGGCATGAGTGCATACGTGCAATTATAACATTGTTTTTTCAATATAGTGAAGTCATCCCCTTCGCATCATGTTCATTGAGTTTGGTTGTGTGATTTTATTTATTTATTTGGGGCGGCTTAAAAAATGGGAAATCAATCTATTCTTTCAATTCGTATGGTTCGTCCAGGCAAAGGAAGAGATTGGGGATCATTTTTCCGGTGTGCACGGGGCTGAGTCAGAGCATGCAGGTGGTTTCACATGGGAGATGTGAGCACTATTTTGCACGGAGCAGAGGCATGTGATAAAGTTCTTGAGATGCATTGCAAGCATATTCGATCACATGAGGCATGCACAACACGCAGGATAAAGGGTGTGGTTGCTCGCATACGGCTGCAGCTTGCACGTAAAGGTTAGATCGTGCGGATCTGGTGCCACCAAGAATGTTCAAGTCAGAGGTTGGATCACGCAGGTTTGGTGCAAGTTGTGCATGGATCAAGGTTGAAAATGTGGAAGCCGGAGGGATTGCGTGAGACGAGGTCCTGAGACGCTTTTGTGTGGGGCTAAGCCGAGCCAGGAACAACAGCTGCTTCTACATGTCTTGGAGAGATTGAGTGAAGGCTTTATTCCTATGAACTTTTTGTTTAGAAAGGGAAATCGAGATGATTAACTGTGTGATCTTACAACAGGGCTTTTTTTTTTTTTTTTGAAGCATAAAAAGAGTCGAATTGGTGCAATTCTAGCAATGTAAGGAGGCTGGAAAATAGTGATGGCTATGAAATCTAATAGAGCCATGGAAAAATCTACCTCAATGGCATAAAAGTCACCAATTCATCAAGTGGTTACATATCCCGTCAAGATCAGTGTGGCAAAATTTGACGGCAAAGGAAACTTTGGCTTGTGGAGATATGTCGTGATGGATGTGATGTGCTCTTCGAATCTATAGAAGTTCTAGATAGTGATGAAATTCTGAAGAGTTATTTAAGAGTGATTGGCTAAAAATGAATCGGAGTGCCTATGGATTAATTAGAAATTGTCTGTCTCAGGAGTTCGAGTTTGGGGTGATGGTGCAGACTTATATTGTGAAATTGTTGAAGACTTTAGAGAACAATTATCTAATGAAGAGTATGCAGAATCTTCACCACATGAAACATCAACTCTACAAATTTTAGAAGATAAATAGGGTTACTATATATGAGCACATGAATGTTTTTACAAAGCTGTTGGTAGATCTATTAAAACTAGATGAGGAGCTTTGAGATGAAGACAAGGCACTCCTTCTATTGAATCCACTTTCAGATGAGTATAAAAAATTCACAATGATACTCATTCATCAGAAGGAGGTCTTGAATTGTCGTGAGGTGACTACATCATTGTTGAGCATGAATCTCAAGGCATATTTAAGTTGGGGACTTTTAAATAAAATTTAGGGCCATCTAAACTCCAATTTAAGTAAACTTAAAGTCAAATTAAACATCTCATGGAGACGAACCCAACAACAATAAAATCGGTTCAATCAAAGAACAAATGGTTCCAAATCAAAGGATTGAATCATATTTTGAAGGTTTAGAGCATTAATTGGATGAATAAATACTCTCTAAATATGGCATACTTATAGTTAAACTGAGTGGGTGGATGAGACAAATCCAATGAGCCTAACATCACTTAATTATGATATCATTTAAGCAGGTAAATGCTTCACAAATGCTCTATAATTGAGGGGATGCACTACAAATTTATCAAAGATCTTCTTCATAGTTACAGGGCATATGATGGGATCTATATAATGAACTATTAAATTGTTTAAAAATCTAGGACTCTGTTACCCCAAAAGAATACTTAGATTTTTTTAATATAAAATTAATAAAACCTCACTTAATATACACAACTATACATGTCAAATATAGTAATAACTTGATATTGTAGAATGTCAAACCAATGAGGAAATATGCTTACTATTGATGAGCACATGAATGATTTTACAAAGTTGTTGGTAGATCTATTAAAAATAGATGAGAAGCTTTGAGATGAAGACAAGGCACTCCTTCTGTGAATTCTCTTTCAGATGAGTATTAAAAATTCACATTGATACTCATTCATGAAAAAGGGTTATTGAATTGTAGTGAGGTGACTACAACATTGTTGAGCATGAATATCAAGGCATGTTTAAGTTGGAAACTTTTAAATTAAATTCAAGGCCATCTAAACTCCAATTTTAGTAAACATATAGTCAAATTAAACATCTCACAGAGACGAACCCAACAACAACAACAAAATTGGTTCAATCCAAGCACAAATGGGTCCAAATCAAAGGATTGAATCATATTTTGAAGGTTCAGAGCATTAATTGGATGAATAAATACTCTAAATATGGCATACTTATAGTTAAACTGTATGGGTGGATGAGACAAATCCAATGAGCCTAAGATCACTTAATTATGATATCATTTAAGCAGGTAAATGCTTCACATATGCTCTATAATTGAGGGGGTGCACTCCAAATTTATCCAAGATCTTCTTCATAGTTACAGGGCATATGATGGGATCTATATAATGAACTATTAAATTTTTTAAAAGTCTAGGACTCTATTACCCCAAAATAACACTTAGATTTTCTTTAATATAAAATTAATAAAACCTCACTTAATATACACAACTATACATGTCAAATATAGTAATAACTTGATATTGTAGAATGTCGAACCCATGAGGAAATATTCCTACTATTGATGAGCACATGAACGATTTCAGTATAGGAAAATCGCATGTTACCGGTGGACATAATTCGTCGGAAAATGCTTAAAATATGTTAGAAAGTAGTACTTTCGGCGGAATTCCAATGGTTTTTTTTTTCGCTGGTACATGCGCGTCGGAAAAGTCATTCCGGTGAAAAATAGGCCGCTGGAAATATTTCCAGCAAAATTTTTCGATGGTATAATTTTTGGCGAACTATTTTGCTCCAAAAAAAAGAAAAAAAACTAAAAAATTTTGACCAGCTTCCACGACAGCACCAGCCAGGCCCCGCCCAGAACCTGCAACCAGCTCTCCCCCGCGGCCCCGCTCCATGCGAACACCGCCCCAGCACATCTGCGGCGAGCCCAACCAGATCCCCACCCATGCGAGCAAGACATTTATTTGATAATAAGTTATTAAATTATTTAACTTAATTTAACAAAATAATTAATAATAAATATTTATTATAGTCATTACTTAAGAAAAATAATTTTGGTCGAAAATTCCGTCAAAAATAAATTCGCCGAAAAATGAATCAAAAAATATGCCTGAAAATCATCGGAAACTCCTTCGGTAATCCGTTAGAAACATCGTCGGAATTTGTGACGAATTTAATTCCACCGAAAATTCTGCCAGAAATGAGCAGTTTTCCTGTAGTGTTTTACAAAGCTGTTGGTATATCTATTAAAAATAGATGAGGAGCTTTGAGATGAAGACAAAGCACTCCTATTGAATTCACTTTCATATGAGTATTGAAAATTCATTTATGAAAAAGAGGTCTTGAATTATGGTGAGGTGACTACAGCATTGTTGAGCATGAATCTCAAGGTGTATTTAAGTAGGAAACTTTTAAATTAAATTCAAGGCCAACTAAACTCCAATTTCAGTAAATTTATAGTCAAATTAAACATCTCACGGAGACGAACCCAACAACAACAAAATTGGTTCAATCCAAGCACAGATGGGTCCAAATCAAAGGATTGAATCATATTTTGAAGGTTCAGAGCATTAATTGGATGAAAAAATACTCTAAATATGGCATACTTATAGTTGAACTGAGTGGGTGGATGAGACAAATCCAATAAGCCTAAGATCACTTAATTATGATAACATTTACGCAGGTAAATACTTCACAAATGCTCTCTAATTGAGGGGATGCACTCCAAATTTATCCAAGATCTTCTCCATAGTTACAAGGCATATGATGGGATCTGATTAATAAACTTTTAAATTGTTTAAAAGTCTAGGACTTTATTACCCCAAAATAATGCTTAGATTTTCTTTAATATAAAATTAATTAAAACCCACTTAATATACACAACTATACATGTTAAATAGTAATAACTTGATATTATAGAATGTCAAACCCATGAGGAAATATGCTTACTAGCAATACACTACTATTATATACTCTAATTATAATAATTATCCTACTAAAATAAAATTGATAATTATAGAGATTTTATCACTAAATAAAATAGTAAAAATATTGCATACAATATTTAATTTAAGTGTTTTAGATTAGTGAATTTAAATATCATGTTTCCTAATGAGAAACTTAATTATAGATGTGATACAAAGCATATGAAGCCCTAGATCTCTATTGAGCTTATAGGGGTAAAAAAGAAATATGATGACCTCCTATAGTTATAAGATCTCCTTAAGAACCTAGAATATTTTACATATGTCTAGGCATACAAACATTATATCTTAATATTTTTTTTGTTCTTACATTTTCTCCATCGAGGCTATACGTCACACTATATTTTAATTATACATATGGCCACTAT